TTCGCCGCTACCCTCTCCTCCAGGCTCGATCATGTAGGTGTGATTGCCATCGAAAAACATCCCACTGAAACAGAGTGAGAGAGAGGGAGAGAGCATAAATCAACACTTGTCGCTGTAGTTTTATTCAACACTAGATGGAATAATGCATCTGAATTCAGCTCCTCCTCTGCAATCAGAGCAATACATTAGCCATCCCAGAGCTTGTCCAGCTATCTTTTATTGTATTATTGCAGCATTTGTCAGAATAATGACTGTAATGCACTCCAACAAGGTGCAGTTCTCGTCAGTCCTGACTGCCATGTCCGGGACATGTTCGGATAAGAGGAGGATAATGTGAACCAAAAGGTCTTCCTATCTGAGATTCAACCACACAGCATCACTTAAAGGTCACATCAGGATTCAACCTCTGGAACAACGACTTATAGTTTGGTCAGGTTTTTTGGAAGGGGTGCAAATCTTGATGATCCTCTAGCATTTTTTGAAAGATCTCTTACCATGAATGTGAAATAAACACAAGATACTTGTGCCAATATGAAAAGATAAACACTCAGTGAAGACAACCCTCATCCCACTTCTGCCCCTTGTACCTATGATTTCATTTTGTAATTTTCCTGTTTTATTTTGAAATCTATTATCTCCTGTCATTTTAGTTCCTGCCTTCATGTGTTCACCAGTCCCTTGATCACAAGCACCTGTCCTCTCGCCTCCCATGCCCATTAGGGTCCATGTCAAACAAAAATCTATCCATCTATCATCCATCCAGTTCATATACTCCTTTGTTTCCCACCGCAGTTGCTGGATTGTCTTTGTTACTCTAGTGTGTGCATCACTTTCAAGTATTTCATAGTTTTGACTCAGCATGTTTTTTTTCTGACTTGGAATTTTGCCTTTGCCCTTATGGATTTGTTTATTTTTTGGACTGCCATCAAGTGTATGACCTTGGTTTTTGTCAAGTAAGACCAAGCATTTTTGCTGAACTCTATTGTGTCCTGTTCTACTCTGCTTCTGGGTCTTCAAATGTCTGGTACCGTTACAACCTTATTCACTACTGACAAGTTATACAACCTAACTTATGGCCATTAGTTGCCACCACAACCAGAACAGTGTTGCCAGCGTCAACAGACCCAGGCTCCGTTTATGCAAGCCAGCCAGGCAGTACCAAAGCCCATACGAGCTACTGCACTGACTCTTGTAGACCCTGCAGAGGGCCAGCACAACACCGGGGTTGTCAAGTGGGAATGTAGAGATGTGAGCAAGAGATGCCATGAAACACAAACGTCGTCATGACCACGCAATCATTTTAAAAAGTCCAAAAATCTATTTCTCATTTAGCAGTTTGGTGAAGGTCTCCTTGTCTCTGCTCGTCCATGTGTGTGCATGCGCACAAAAACGTCATCCGCTAATTAACTTTATCGGAAGCTTTTAGGAGATTGGTAGGGTCAAACTGTGAATTCACAAGGGTAAACACACCAACGGCCTTTCTCTTCCAACTGTCCCTGCCTTTTTCCTCCACTTATTACATCGTGGTCCAACACTGCACTTTGAGCAGATTATGAACACAGGAAAAAAAGGTCAGAGTTACAGACACAAAGAACGGTCATGCTTGCGAACACATTATTTAATTCTTAATCCATAGGTCGTGAGTTAATGATTTGGTTTTCAAGGACAACATTATAATTTATATTTATTTTTTGGGGAAACAGGAAAAATAAAATCATAAGAAAACAGCTTTTGTTCAGTTGAGATCACAGGATGAGAGTCTGGTTCATTGGTCTCAGTCTTTATGTTCACTCTGATCATTTTAGGAGATTGATTTAAGGCATATTCTAAATTGCTAACAAGGTCAACGTAAACATTTCTCAGTATTGATCATTTGTTAAGCAGATAAAGATTTGCTAAAACAGTCAACGCTTTACTGTATACATCCATGTGATGGGTGTGGCTGAGAGCATTTCTATCTTTACACAATTCATACCTTATTGAATTGCAGAGTAAAGTTTGTGTGTGTGTGTGTGTGTGTGTGTGTGTGTGTGTGTGTGTGTGTGTGTGTGTGTGTGTGTGTGTGTGAAAAAGAGGACAGAGCAGGATGTATATTACGGTAAATACCTTACTCAGCATAAGGGAAATACTCTCCCTCTAATGTCTAAACCCCCCGACACCACAGAGCACTCCCTTAACTCCCTCCTTCCTTCACGTACACATACACACATCAGCGTTCACAGGGCATAGTCTGGTTGTGTCCGTTACATTTATCATGTCTGCTTGTGTATTTCTTTCCATGCTAAAAAACAAACAAGAACATTTCCCAAAACCTGAGATTTAAAAGATGTGTGACAGTAGCATTATAACGTGCTTCACTCACATTGGGCAAATTCATTATTAGTGTAAACGATTAACCTTGAGAAGATTAGACAAACTCATGCTCTACTTTGACATTATTTTGTGTTTAGTTTACACATTTGTTTTGCTGATAAACAAGTCACCACAATCACATGAAATATGCAAAAGCTATTAAAGAGCCGCAGCTTGACTTATTAAGCAGTCCTTAATACAGTAGTCAGTTCATTAGCTGAGTTTACTCCCCGCACTGATTAACTCTTTTTGATTGATTTGTTTGTTTATTGTTTTCTTTTTGATTATTTCGCCTGATGAGGCATAATGATTTCAGAATGAATATTAAGCCTTAAAGGAAAAGAGAAGACTGATAGAAGCAGATGTGAAAGGTTTTGTTAATTAACTTAACTTAAGACTTCATAAAGCTTAGAACTCTTCAGCATCACACCTCAGACTAAAAAAGTAAAAAATAAATAAAAATAAAGGCCGGTTATGCTACCATACACTTGTTTGTTATGTGACATTAGCAGCACACTTCTAGATGGTGGAGTTGGAAATAATCAGTCAAATACATTCCTAGCTGGTTAATGTCAATGCCCCGACGATTGAGAACAAACTGCTGAGTTGACATCATATTTGGAAAAAACCTGGTAGGTCAAAGTAAACGTCTGGTTGATAGATTCATTAAACTGTTCATTCATTTGTGTCCTATATGAATATTGACTCACATGTATTTTGTGTTAAGATATAAGGTTGTACACGTTAAACTGGTCTTTGCAGTTAAAGCAGTATTTTTAGTGGTTTTTAAGGTGGAGGTGCTGTTGCAGAACCAGGTCATGAACAAAGTTAAAGAATCAGCTAAATAAAAAATACTAGACACAGCCATCAGTGTGTTGATTAAATGCTAACTGGGAGCGTCAATCGTGGGGATTGCATCCTTTCGCTTAAAGATCATGACCAAGTTTAAAAAGAACGATTTCTAACTCTGGTAATTTCTTCTAATTTGTGATAATATAAGGACAGCATAAAAAGCAAAATTATTCGATGGATAATGTCCGCTCAAAAACAGAAAAAGTCTGGAGGTCCAAAGGATGACATGATGAGTCACTCAATTGATTTTAGCCTCTGTGTAGGCACATAACGAGACTTACAAGGAGCTTTCTCTAGCCCAGAAATTATACTTGTTTACATATATATTTTGGGTTTCTACATTTCTTTAGTGCGTACAACTATGTAAGGCAAATAGTGTGTGTGATTCTGTGTGTGTGCTAGTTTTCCATCTCATGTTCACAGTTTGGGAGGAACACCTTTTTCACTTTTTTCAGTAATTGTGTTTAAGCACCTGTGAAAAACACAACTTTTCTACACAAATGTGTGTTTACGTATTTGTTCACATGTGCCCTTTTTTATGCAAACTTAACTCACATACTGTACAATATACATAATGCATTTTTACCCTGCAGGAAGGCCACTCTCTTGTTTCTTTACACTTGACGGATAAACACAAACACATGTATACTAACTTCTGACACGCATAAACATTGTACATGTTTTCCTCCAAGCGGGCCTCGTTTCTGACCCCTCTCTCTCTGACAGAGCGCTGCTTTAGAACACTAACTCTAAAAATACCAACTCCAGGAAGAGAATAAGAGAGGGAAAAAAGAAGAGGAGACTTCTGAGCAGCACCTGTCTAGGTGAGTGATCGCCAGGCAACAACATTTTAGAGAGGCACAGAAGAGCTGACTTAAACTAATTGCATTGACCTAAACAATAAATGAGAGCGAGGCCCTGCAGCAATATTGACAGAAAAAAACACTCACATACATCAGCTACACACAATATTCATACTTACTGTAATCCATGACAGGTTGAGAGAGCCACAAAGGAGTGAGGAAAATCTCTGACCTTCCCTTGATAGTAGCAGTGCTCTCCTCCCTGTAAGCAAAACATAAACACACACAAATAGAGATCAGACAAACACACAACCGCCTCCTGAAATGTCTCAGAGAGCCAAATACTCCTCTAGCTGTTTCTATTATCATATTCCATCAGTAAATGAGTTCAGAGCGATCAATCACACATAATTCATTTGCTAACACACACAACAAGTGCAAGTATGATCAAGTGAAGAAGCGTGTGTGCATGCACTGTATGTTTGTGTGTGTTTTTGTGTGGTACTGCGCACTACCATCTGTGTGTTAACTTCTCTGTGACTCCTTCTCAACTTCTCACAATAGGAAGGCCACAGCATCGGTCAGTTGTATAAAGACAAAAAAAACTTTCCATATCTATCATGACTCGTCGTCAACCACTCATTCTATCCAACTCCATCTGTGTGTGTGTGTGTGTGTGTGTGTGTGTGTGTGTGTGTGTGTGTGTGTGTGTGTGTGTACTTCCTGCGAGCGTAAACACACTTTTATTTTCTACAGACGGGTATGATGTCTAAGTGTCTAAGTGCTCTGCAGGCCATCTCTTCCTGGTCCACTTCTTGCTGCCTAACAGCCATTAGGCAGGAAGCCGGTCTCCCCGAGGAAACGCAGCTTTTATCAGAGGATCAATTTCTGCTCTACGGTCTGATGCTGTGCAACAACGCAGTGCTCTGTCCACTTCTACCAACAGCTCTGTCTGCGGACTTCATCTTAATCCATGTCTGTCCGATGGGTTAGTGCGAGGTTACATGGAGGGTTTTGTTTGCATTGTTCAATGACATGGCGCAAAGTGAGTGAAAACAACCGGCTAAAGGAATTCACTCCCATTCTGACCCCGATCACAGACCTTCAAGTTCATCCAAAAAGAGTTGTATGGGTTTTGGGTCAGTGCTCTGTGCTCTGTGCAGGCCAGTCAATTACTACGACTTTAAGCTCAGAAACTTTTTGCATATGTGTTTTTCACAGGCACACTTTCATGTTTAAAAAGGAGCACAACATGTCTAATAATTATAGTTTTTTGTCACAGGAATGTTCTACTTTTTGAAAAGAAAATGCAGTTACTGCCTCTCTGAAGACAGTAAATAAATCAGATGAGAATCTAACAAGTCTTTGGAACTGGAGCCTGCTTTGCCTAGCTTAGCATGTAGACTGGAAACAGCTAGCCATTCAGTCCTAGGGTTACAAAATACACCTGCTTTGTGCGCAACTAAAACTCGCAAGTTAATACATTAAATCTTTCTTAGTGTCTTGTTGTGACAAAAGAGTCGCTAGACAGCGCAGAGTCAAGTTAGAAACTGCATCAGCCAAAGAAATCATTCATATACTACCAGTTTTACATCAAACTGATGTTATTCCACTTGTAAATGAGCTGGTAGGAGGATTAAGTTATTTTCACACAAAGTTAAAAAGTGAATCTAAATTATGACACGCTTGTCTATCATTTATGAATCCGATTTTTAAAGGACAAAAAGAAAGAAACAATGAGCTCAGGCAGGTCTCCATGCAGCTCTGTAAATGTCTATATTATCACATCCAAGATGACCAGAAACAACAAATAAGACCAAAGCACAGCTGGCATAAGAGGGTCAAAGTTTTTAATAAAAAGACAGATATATTAAACTTGTGATTTTTTTTTGTATCCATATCCAGTGTATGGTATCAGATGAAGTTTGCTAAGTAAACCTGACTGAGTTAGAGAAGATGAGTGAGTGAGAGGTCGGGTAAACGGCGTAGAGCGAGTGTGAGCTGAAGAGACAGAGAGGGCTATTTATAAGCGGAGCTGTGCTCTACTATCCCAGCGTCACTCCTCCCCCTGTCGCCCTGAACCTTCTGCTCCACTTCTCATCAAAGCGAGAAACACCCAAAACCCAGCGATGTGGGTACATCCTCAGTGTGTGTGTGTGCGTGTGTGTGTGTGTGTGTGTTACTAAATTTGTCTGATCTGTGATCTCCGAAGACCTGTATAAGAGTAATACATCATCTAATCTGGACACAACAATGCAAAAGGTGAAGATCAGCTGGTAAACAAGTAGGGCAACCTGCCCTCTGCATGTCACTGAAAGTTTGAGCACATTAGATAACTTATATGAAGACAGGCGTAACACAGATATCATATTTTATTTTCATGGAGTAGATGTAGTGATTGTGTATATTTGGAGATTAACTACTATGAGGATAACAATGTTTTCTTTACAGGGAGGGATAGTATGTATGGGTATTCAAACCTACTGTACTGTATGTGTAACTGCACTTTTGTAACATAACTCTTTGTGTTATAGACCATTGTAAACAGTAGAGCTATGAGTGAGCATAACTGGTTATTGGTGCTGGCTTTCTAATGGTAATGGTAATGGCCTTGAGCTTGTATAGTGCTTTTCCAGTATTTTGACTACTCAAAGCGCTTTGACACCGCAGAGCACACCAACCCATTCAAAACCATTAACACACTGATGGCAGAGGCTGCTATGTAAAATGATCATCAGAAGTAACAAATCCCATTCACACATTCATGCACATTCATCGCCGCCAACGAAGTTTTGGGAGCAACATAGGGCTAAGTCTACCAACTGAGCCAAAGCTGCCCCGCTAATGATGGCTGTCTCCCCATTAGGGCCAATAAACTTACTCTATACAAAAGCCTTAATTCAGAGACCAAAAAAATGTATTTTTTTCCACCTATCTTTGATTAAAAGGATTATACAGATTCAGTTAAACTTTGTATATCAAGCAGTAACCTCCCGTGTTAAAAGATGAAGCCAATGCGGAAGTGCAAAAAACTTTGTCCACTTGAGGCTGGATCCAAATGACTCTGAAGTCCCGTACACTTCCCATATTAAAATTACTATTTTGACAGAAGAAATTAACATGTTTACAGACTGGTACAAACCAAATTTGGTCTTCCTTGTTATTGTCTTTATCGGAACACGTTATTCGGGGTGTACTTTTTTCTTTTTTACTCACAAACTACTTTTGGAATAATAATGAGTATTGTATCTAAACATCCAATCCATACAAGTGTAGCATGTAAATTTGACCATTTAACTCTTAATGGATACAGATCTTGGGTTTAAATCTTCAAATAAATACATTAAATAAAAGCCTTAATGGGGTGCCGATCGCCTAGTGGTTATGACGCCTGCCCCATGTTTGGAGGCAATAGTCTTCAGCACAGCGGCCGTGGGTTCGAATCCGACCTCGGCCGTTTTGGTGCGTGTCACTCCCCCTCTCTCTCCTCCAAACATTTCCTGTCTCTCTTCAGCTGTCCTTTGCAACAAAGGCAAAAAGGCCAAAAAAATGTCTTTAGAAAAAAAGCCTTAATGATGCTGAAACTAGGTCAAAGTGTTATAATAGAATCAGGTACATCCTTTATATCCTTGTGGCATACTTCTTTTTATACTCTGTGTAAACATAAGACTTATAATGGAGGATAATTTGTACAATAACTGCATAAATTATCCATTACAGCGAGCTGTAGCATCACATGAGCTTAAAGGGCTGAAAAGCTCTGCAGCTCTTTAACTGTATTTGCTACATTTGTTACTTATGTACTACATGGCCAGAGAAATGACGGAGGCAGACTATTAGAGCAGCAGCTGTGTGATGACGGCTGACACTTTGACCTCTGTGAGCAGAGTAACAAACTGGAGCTTGTCTCATATTAACCTCCCTGGAAAGCAGCCATTAATAAAGAGAGCCACATATTCTGTAAAGTGTAATAAACAAAGCTTGAGAATAGAGCCCACACACAAAGTAAACAGATCTTTTATCTGTAAGGTGGATTAATTCACAGAGAGATCACTTTATAAGATCCATAATTACTAGAGACTATATCAGTGGTGTAATAACTGGATCATTCTCTGTAAAGTATATTATATCTTTATAATCTGCTTCTTAGCTGAATAAATCCTGACCCTTTTAATCCTCCTCACTTGTGTAATGTAAGAAGAAGCCTCAGTGGCTCTCCTGTAATTTACGTCCAGATTTCAGAGGATTATCACAGCAATCTTAAATTCATGTTCAAGCCACAGCTACCGTGTCAAACTGGTCCTCTGATATCTCAGATGAACAAAGACTAAGGGCCCGGATAGGCTGTGCTTTCTGTACATTGATTAACCAATAAAAGGTTTAGGGAGGAGAGGGAACCTGTAGCAGCTACAAAGAACTGCAACAGAAAAACAGAGCTGAGAAGAAATCTTCAGGGGAGTGGATTCAGCTACTCTGCAGGTTTTATTATTTGTTTTAATCCAAGTTGGATAGGCATCATCCATTACAGCTCTAGCTTACTTAAACTGAATCCTGACTTGTTGTACTTCCCTGTCTCTGAAATCTAACAGATGCTAGTATTGTCAACTTGTTTCAATAAACACTCCTGTTTTCTTACCTCTGTTTCCTTAAGGATTCTCAATATATTAAGTGAACATGGGTAAGGTTAATGGACGCAAATCTTTTTTTTTTAAAGATTTATTTTGGGGCATTTTGGGCCTTTATTTTGAGAGACAGGACAGTGGATATAGTCAGATATCATGGAAAGAAAGAGTGTGGTATGACATGTGGGAAAAGGAGCCACAGGTCTGATTCAAACCAGGGTCCCCCACTTGGATGACTAAAGACTCCGTACATGGTTCTCACCCACTAACCACTACACTACCAGCGCAAATCTGCTGTATAGAACTGCAGCAAACCACTGACAGACTAGCTGTCACCTATTGAATCAATACACTATTCATTTGATGAAAATGTTTAATGAGTAACTTTTTGTAAAAAAAAAAAAAAAAAAATGTCTTTGTCTTTTTGGTGTGCATATTGTTTGGTTTATGTCTATGGACATTAACAGAATATCTATAATCAACATGGCCCCACCTCCAGCTCTATCTCCACTTTTACTTTATACATCAATGGTAAGCAAACAGTTACCTTGTTACACATCAAGCAGATGTTGGGCGACTTTGGCATTCACCTTTGTTTTTATTCAGTTCGTTCACTCCCTTTTTGCTCTGTGTTTGGTCTCCACTCACCCTCATGGTTCTGAAGTTGCTAAATGCTGAACTATGGTCACCAGTGCACTAACAGAAAGGGAATCATTAAGACTCAAACCAAAACGAGCTCAGAGACGTACAAACAGTCTGTAAGGCTGAGAGAACCTGTAAAGTCTTTCCATCTAGCAGCAGTTGTTCAAACCACATACTGGTTGTATTTGAACCTGGTTGAGATCTGATTACTTGTCTTGTTTTCCTAAAAGCATTTCCAAAGTGTGTTGATTGCCTTTGTCCTCATCTACATAACCAGATACAGACTACAGGGTTATATCAGGGCACCATGAACACACTGTATAGCTTTCATTCTTTATGTTGAGGGTGGAGTGAAAGTGTGAGTGAACATGAGCAGAGATGATTTGCAGAATCTTACATTGGTGACGACAGTCCTCCCTTTCTCTGACAAATGCCGCTCCACGTACCCCGAAGACAGCAAATCACTGAGAAAAGAGAGGAAAGACATAAGAGAATAAAGATAAGAACATTTGTGATTTTCATTTGAGTGTCACTTAGTTATACAAGTTTGCTTGTTTTTTTTTTTTAATGGGACAGTTGTATTCAGTCTTGGCAGCAGAGAGCTTCAGAGCATCAGCCCGGCTAATTATGACCAGCGTACCGGGACGAGGCTATTTCCAGCACACAAACTCACACAAACATAATTATACAAATCCAGCCTTCTAGCAAATGTCTGGTGTGTGTACTTGTGTGTGTGTTTATGTGTGTGTGTTTGTGGGATGAGTGTGTCTGTCCAAGAAAATAAGGACAAGTGAAGGTCAGTAAGGAGTAAAAGAAGTGACACAGGCAGAATGGGAAGGAGGCAGGAAATAAATTGAGAGAGCAAGGAAGTGAAAGAACGGCATAAATAAGAGGAAATCAGTCTATGTGTGCTTTCTCAGCAGAGCTGGACCCAAGAATCCCAATGGAGATACACACTGCAGGGCCAATCTGAGACAGAGATGTATGAGCTATAGTGCAAGCACACACACACAAAAGATACACACCCAGAGCATTGCGGCAAATGACTTGGGATTTGTCCATTATTCAAACTACTCTTTAATAAAACAAAACTTAAAGTTTCAGCCTCTTACAGATCGATCTATAAAATTAGCTTGTACCAAACTTACAGCATTAAGAAGTACACAGCAGAGCACGAACAGTTTTTAAAGGGAAAAATAACTCGACAATAACAGAACAGGTTTCAAAAACCACAAAGAGTATCGAAGAAAAATAAAGCCTCCCCTTGAGCTTTGAAATATAATAAGCTAAAAATGTATGCATGAATCCACACCGTGAAAATTCATAAATTGTAAAATAAAATATTGTATATAAAAGAATGTATGTAGTGATGTTGATTTATAGGTTGTTTGAAAGGAGAATTGAGCTTTCATGTCTTATGCCATCACATTCAGTGAGTCAGGCCTGAGCAAAGATTTATGTAAGGCTTTTATAAACACAAAAATCCCGAACAGAGCAGAACAAAACCGACAGTCCATCAGCAAACTGAGTTTAGGGTTAGCTGAATAAGCAAACTTGAATTACTTTCTAAAAGTTCTCAATCACTGGTTGGACTGTTGTGTTTATAAAGTCAAAGTGAAGAAATGAACACAAAAACTGTGCAACCGAAACAATGTGCCGTATCTGAACAGACCATTCACCACGCTGAACCAAAAAGCCATCAATCATCTGCGACTTCCTGTCAACATCCAGACAAGAGAAAGTCAGTGTGTTTAATCTTCATCTTGTGCTCTCACCAAACATAGCAGCCACTTTTCATTGTAACATAAACAGTGTGAGGACACTCAGGTGGAAGTCAAATGTAAAGGTGTGAGATTTGCATGCCAAAGAATTCAGACTGAAAGATAAATACAACTTGATGACAATGACACTGCATTCATTAAGATATACGAATAAAATGGATAAAATGTGGCAGAAATACTTTCATATGAAGGCTTGTGTTGATCTTGTGATAAATATTTGTATTTATGTATTTTTATTAAATATAATGAAATTGAACTACTACATTACTTTACTGTTTGTCTAGCTTGACATAACAAAGCACTAGTAATCCTTTTTATGTACTGGTAACTGTTCAGATTAGTAAAAAACTGAAATGTAACATCTTAATTATTGAGCTTTAGAAGAGCAAGGGAAGCTATTTCCTATGTTTACCTAAGATCACAAATCAGCCCACTGTGGCTTCATGGTTTGCTTACAGATATGAGAGCGTTGAACTCTCAGCTGAAGAGCGAATAAAGTTCTGCAGGAATTTGTCCTGAAAACCAGAATGAGTTTAAATGTTGCACTTTCTGCTTCCAGATCATCCTGAAGTTATTCTTTGTTTGTTTATTATTTGGATTCAAGGTGTTAATATATTTAGTAAAAAAGCTTACAGACACCACAGAGCTTGTCAGAGGGTTATATGTTATTTTGCTAAACAGGGAAAGTTTGAAGATGTGATGGTTTTGATGTTGCAGTTCTTCAAATCTACTGTTGTACATTTATAGCTTTGGATTTTACATCTTAGGACTACATTTACGCCTCCCAAATTGTAAACAACATGGTTATTAGTGGAGAATAGACTGATATTATATGCTTTGTTTTGAGAAAACTAGTGCAACCCTGCCTTTAGTGTATCTACAAAAATATTGCTCTATTTATAATTAATCTGTTTTTGACCAAAGTTTTCCACCTACATTTTCAACCATTTATTTCCCTTCAATTTGGATAAACTTGCTTGAAGATCTAAACGTCTATAATTTATTAGACTTACTCTCTGTATTAATAAAAGCTTTTTAATATCCTACATTTCAAACGCAGCTAAATCTTTCACGAACAGACCGACTTTTGAAAGCAAAGGAAAGTAATTCTCTGTAATGAGTCATAATGAGGCAGATGGAAGGAAAATGTTTCCTTGTGAAGGCAGACACATGATGTTTTCTTTCTCTTTTTTAAAAATATAAACTGAGCTTACTTTCAAGAGGTGAATGTTTTCCAAAGATGGTGAAACGTATCTTCTTATATTATACAACTTAACCACCTGACATCAGCATGCACACGCACACAGGCAGTGAAGGAGGAGGCTCTCTAACATGACTAATGGGCATTTTGCTACAGCAATAAAAAAAAAGCTGCAGCGAGAGAGCTGGAGAGCGTGGAGTCAGATGGAAAGAGGGAGAGAATGACCATCAAGGGGGGAATAATGACTGAGGGAAGGAGAGAGGCAGTAAAAGTAAAAGAGAGGCAGGCACAAGGTGTGAACACATAGCTCAGGGCCCTAAAAGATTTCCCATCATGCACTGCCTTTAAGCTCCTCTGCGTCGCTGTAAAAAAGGCAACCCCCATAGCACACATTTCACCCCCTCCAACGTCAGGTCACACATAACACACACATATCACATCAACTCAAACACAACAAAATACTACAAGTGTAACATGCGAACACTCCTCGGACACACAAACCGTTTCTTAACATTTAACATCAAAAGTATTCCCCCTCCAAATATTCATACACTCCTGTGATGAAGACATTCGGTGTGTGCATGAGTCACTGGGTCACAGCCGCGCTGTTAGCCTTTGTTCTGTTGGGATGTGTGTTTAAGATTCAGAGCTTGTGATCTTATCCGACTGCACGCTGAGCACAGACTGGGGAAACAAGGAAGCAGCATACTGAGGCGGCACGGCACACACACAAGCCTCTAATGGAGGACGCTGATAACAGATTTCAGCTTTAATTGTTGGGGGATTTAAATAATTTATTTGACAGACAAAGATGCAAACTCAGCCTCAAGCCCAACCCCCACCCTGACGTATGCACGCACAAATCTCCCCTCAAACACTTCCACCCACCACACCCTTACTCTTTCTGTTAACATGCATACATGCACACGTTTAAAAACTGTGAGTGCCCACTTTGCCATTTGTCTCCGATATGGAAAAGAGAATTAGAAAAAATAAATGTGACCACATCATAACAACATCCACAAGGTTCAACAAACAGTTTGAAAAGTGGTAACGCTAATGTCAGACATACCAGTGTGGTATCTAATACCTGCAGACAAGATGTGGGACTGAACACCCACGTCTCATTTTCTGTCTCACTGAGTGTCTCTTACTCTCATTCTCTCTGCTAACTCTCTGCTAGTTATCCTCCCGCAACACTGGCAGATAGTTTTTTTTACAACCTCTCGCACAGAAACATCTGTGGGAGAGCTGGAGTCAAGCTGTCAATCAAGGCCTAGAGGAGAATTCGGAGGTGGATCCACAGATGCTCCACTTTCAGCTTGCATCATGAAACTGCCATTTACATAGTAATCAAAACCATGTCTTGTTTTCTCTATACTTTAATTCCAGCCAGCCCACTTACACACAAAAACCTAAAAGCTATGACACTCCTTCAGGTTGGAAAATGAAGACCTTTATTAAAAGGGTCTTAATGAAGTTGAACTGAATTGGGTGAACAGAGTCCATGGCTGTCACTCACATCAAACATCACCTGTCCCTTTAAAGCTTTTTGTTTTGAATTTTTCAGGACAAAGACATCTGCTATGGCAACCCAGCCCGATCTCCTGAGGTGAATCACACAAACACACACACACCAAAATTCCGCTCACGATCTTTGTCGCTTGGCAGCAGCATGGCACTGGGATGAAAAACAGTGCAAGAAAAAAGGACCAATCAGCTGGACTAATGTTTTTCTGTGTGGGTGTGTGTGTGTGTGTGTGTGTGTGTGTGTGTGTGTGTGTGTGTGTGTGTGTGTGTGTGTGTGTGTGTGTGTGTGTGTGTGTGTGTGTGTGTGTGCAAATGTTAGTGGATTGGCACAAGGGTAGGGGTTCCAGGCTTTTCATCGCTTTCACACAGTCCCTTCTAGCTGCTTTCAAAGACTTTAATACAACCCAACATGTAAAAAAAAAAAAAAAAAAAAGGATAAAAAAAAATACAAGGCAGGTTTAATGTGACGCATCAGATTGTTAATACACATCTATACACAAGCACTGTAGTCATCAAATAGACCTCGGCTCCATATATGGATTTTTTTGGCAATTTAACCCTTTCATAAAGGGCAGCAGCACACAAAGGGCTGAACATGTGCTGTGTCAGGTGCTGGTAAAGAGGAAGGGGGGGGGGGGGGAGAGTGCCAAGGAAACAGAAAAGGGAGAGAAGGAATAAGAGCACAAGAGGAAACAAGGCTGGGAGGGGCAAGATAGAAAGGTGGATAAGAGAAATAAAGATGCGAAAAGGAGTGAAGGAGAGAAAATGAGAGAGAGAGGCTTGATAGAGATTTCTCTTTGGGGAAAGATGTAGCTGCCTTCACCTGCCTTTCTACCCTCCCCCCCCCCCACACCCCACCCCCACCCCCACCCCCCCCCCCGCCCGTCCCTTCCACTGAGGCCTCATTAAGGGTCTCCAGGCTATGATTCATTCACTCTCCAATCACTTATCA